TGTTTGTTTGTTTGTTTGTGGTTTGTTTGTTTGTGGTTTGTTTGTTTGTGTTTGTTTGTTTTGTTTGTTTGTTTTTGTTTGTTTAATTGTTTGTGGTTTGTTTCTTTGTGTTTGTTTGTTTGTTTGTTTGTTTGTTTGTGGTTTGTTTGTTTGTGTTTGTTTGTTTTGTTTGTTTGTTTTTGTTTGTTTAATTGTTTGTGGTTTGTTTCTTTGTGTTTGTTTGTTTGTTTGTTTGTTTTGTTTGTTTGTTTGTTTTTGTTTGTTTGTTTGTGTTTGTTTGTTTTGTTTGTTTGTTTTTGTTTGTTTAATTGTTTGTGGTTTGTTTCTTTGTGTTTGTTTGTTTTGTTTAATTGTTTGTTTTTGTTTGTTTGCTTGTTTGTTTTTGTTTGTTTAATTGTTTTTGTTTGTTTGTTTTTGTTTGCTTGTTTGTTTGTTTGTTTTTGTTTGTTTAATTGTTTGTGGTTTGTTTCTTTGTGTTTGTTTGTTTTGTTTAATTGTTTGTTTTTGTTTGTTTGCTTGTTTGTTTTTGTTTGTTTAATTGTTTTTGTTTGTTTGTTTTTGTTTGCTTGTTTGTTTTTGTTTGTTTAATTGTTTTTTGTTTGTTTGTTTGTTTGTTTTTGTTTGTTTAATTGTTTTTTGTTTGTTTATTTTTTTGTGCTTTGTTTGTTTGTTTACTTGTTGAGCGTCTCAGTGACCCTGCTCTCCTCTGGCCCCCAGGCCCCCCACAGATGACTCAGGAATGCGTAACAACGCCGCCTCCACGCCCCCCAGCAGCCTGCCGTCTCAGACGCACCCCTGCAGCCCCCCAGACTCCACCTCCTCCCTGACGCCCTGCTCCTCGCTGCCCCCCTCRGTGTCCCCGACCCTGACCGAGGTCTTCGGCCTGCCCACCCCTCCTATGGGCAGCAGCGGGGGCTACAGCCTGAGCTCGTCGTGCGGCGGCAGCGGCAGCTCGCGCTCGCCCTCGCCYCTCACGCTGATGCAGGCGGTGGCGGCGTCGGGGAAGCCCTTCGCCTCCAAGGCCGTGGAGCTGTGGAGCAAACAGGACGTGGCCGACTGGCTGGACAGCCTGAACCTGGGCGAGCACAAGGAGGCCTTCCTGGACAACGAGATCGAGGGCGCACACCTGCCCTCGCTGCAGAAGGAGGACCTGATCGACCTGGGRGTGACCCGGGTGGGCCACCGCATGAACATCGAGAGGGCCCTCAAGCTCCTGCAGGACAGATAGACCCCGGGCTCTGGGGGGCCCAGGGGGGCTCTTCATCAGACTCAAACTGGAGTCACAGGAAGGTTCTGTCCACGCTGCAGCTGCCTCTTGTCTCGTCCTCTTCCTCAGCTGTGAGGAGGGGGCGGGGCTTGGGTCAGCTGATTGACAGGTCGTTCAGAGAACTGTCTGCAGGTTAGGACTCACCCAGCCCTGCTTTGGATTACTAGACTTTTTCTGTCCACCCGGTGTGGGTGCAGAACCAGAACCAGAACCAGAACCAGAACCAGATCCAGCTGAGCTGGTCCTTTTCTATCTTTGCTAGAGTTTGTTCAGAGAATATTTCTTCACTAGAGTTCAAACACACTTATATTTCTGACTGCGTCTGACGTCCAGACAAACTGTTTGAGATCGACTTTGTGTTGCTTTTCACCTGTTTGTGTCAAAATAAGAGCCTCAGCTGACACACACACACACACACACACACACACACACACACACACACACACACACACACACACACACACACACACACACACACACACACACACACACACACACACACACACCATGTTTATGCACAGTGCCACCTGTTTAGAGATTACACATTCTGTTTACATTCTGAAGATGCACACAGTGATGATGATGATGATGATGATGATGATGATGATGATGACCCCCCCGAATCACTCGTGTGTTGATGTCTGAACACTTCCTGCCATTCTTCATCGTCAGCTCCTCTTCATCACACCGGCAGCAGGTCAGCAGCGTGACAGGAAGTAGTGAGGGAAGACCTGTATTTTCACAATAAAAGACCCGGTTCAGTCAGAAGGTTTATTTATTAAACGTTAGTTTTCCTCTAAAAGCAGTCAGGATGAGCAGCTCAGCCTCTGCAGGAAGAATAAACACAGAAACAATCATCAGGTCCGATCCTGATTAACAAGCTTCAGTCAACAGAACCAAGTTAGAAACGGACTCTGCTTCAGAACCTGAGGGGACCGGGCTCAGGACAGCAGAACATGTGATCAGAACATCTCTTGTAAAACTCTGGAATCAGTTTGAAGACGAAGGTTTGGTGTTTTAGTCCACATCAGTAAAGCAGGAGGCGTGGCCTTGTTTATCACAACAGGAAGTTAGGATGAACCCGGTCCAGTTTCCTGTGGTCCAGTTTCCTGTGGTCCAGTTTCCTGTGGTCCAGTTTCCTGTAGTCCACCTGAGCTCTGCTCCACTGAAGAACAGCAAATTATTAGAAAAGCTCAGAGAAACCGTCTGAGTTAGAGTTCAGCTTCATTTATTACAGAATCACTTCTAAAGACTTAATTAATTAATTAATTAATTAAATTAATTAATTAATTAATTAAACCCAGATTCATGAAAAAGAAAAGCCCGTTCTGTTTCTGGGTCAGAATGATTTGTCAGCTGCAGAAAAGTGAGACGGGTCGAAGGGTTCTGATGAGACCAGTCCGAGAAGCAGAACCCTGCCAACAGTTTGAAGCTCAGTCCTGAAGGTTCTGGTCCTGCTGGTTCCAGAACCAGGGTCCAGTTAGGTTTCCTGACACACACTCRGGATATGTTTCCAGCCTGTTTCCAACCTGCACTTCCTGTCACAATCACATGTTCACTGATGAGTGCCATGTGGGCGGGGCTAAGATCAGGTCACTCTCTGTCGCCACCTGGTGTCCAGGTGTGGATGTTTCTTCTTCAAACATCAGCATTTCTTTTAGAAACAGGAGGAAAATGTCCAGAGTTGTGTTCTTTATGAGCTCGTTGACACGATTCAGGAAGGAAAGGATGAAGTGATGAGATTAGAGGAGGAGGTTCTGATCCAGACCAGACCAGACCAGACCAGAGCAGACCAGACCAGAGCAGACCAGACCAGATCAGCGTTTTTAAATCTGGACTTTGTTTGCAGGACGTGTAAATAAGAGTTTAACAGGACAAATGTTTATTCAAGTCTTTGTATAAATCTATGGAAATGTTTAGAGAGTTTAAAAGAATCTTCTGACGGTAAATTTCTAGTTTCAGCGCTGACCCCACGACCAAAGTGTCCCTCCCTCTGCCCAGAACCAGAACCAGAACCAGAACCAGAACCTCCCTCAGAGAGTGGCACCGACACAACCAGCCCGCTTCAGGTCACACCTCACTTCACTGCAGCTCCTTGAGGAGACAAACTAAAGGTCCACATCCTGTGTTCTGTGAACATCAGGCGTACGGTGGCTGGRGAGGGACAACTCACAGCGGCGCGTCTGAGGGGTTGAAAAGCACAGTATTTTTAAAGATTTGTATAGAGTTCTATGATGTTTTATAGAGGTTATCTGAATACAAACAGCTCAGCACTGATTCTTGGATTGCCAAAAATAGAATCTATACATAGAGACAAATGTGTATTATTATTATTATTAACATTAGATTTATGGGTTATGTAAGAAGCAATATTTATTCTGAATGAAATTCTTTGGTTGTGTTTTATTTTTACATGTTGCATATCATCAGTGTTTTAATGAAGTGTTGCCTAAAGTAGATCCACACCTGAGCGCCACGGCTGTAAAGGGACAGTCCGGTTATTTGTGACGGAGGAACGGGCAGAAGTCTTCATCCAGGCTAAGCTAAAGGCTAACGGCTAACAGCTAACGGCTAACAGCTAACAGCTAGCGGCTAACCAAGGCTCATTTTAAAGCATTTTACAGGTTTTTAAAACAACCCTCAAAAACAAAATATTAAAACTTTAGACTTTTACCTGAAACCATTTGTTCAGTTTGTCTCTGTTCAAACYTCTGCAGCAAAAATACATTTTTCATAAATATATATTTTATAGAGCTACAGACATGTTAGAAACAACCAAATCAACAAAGAAACCAAGTAAAGTTTTAAACATAAATCTGTCAAAATCAATCAGTCATCAGCAAAACTGAAACCTGCAGGATTCTACAGAACCCACGATTCTGTGTTCAAACACAGTACTACTATACTGTGTATTATCATTAATACACAGTACTACTATACTGTGTATTATCATTAATACACAGTACTACTATACTGTGTATTATCATTAATACACAGTACTACTA